TCACGCGGTGAGCCTGGCAATGCATTCATTAAAAATGTAGAATGCAATGATAAAACTCACTAATGGTCGCAGAGTTAGTTAAACTGAAACTTGAATGGCTACAGACAGATTTACTTAGACTGGATAACATTTTCGTTCTCTCTCTCTCTCTCTCTCTCTCTCTCTCTCTCTCTCTCTCTCTTTCTGAGTCTGTCTGTCTGTCTGTCTGTCTCTCTCTCTCTCTCTCTCTCTCTCTCTCTCTCTCTCTGTCTGTGTCTGTCTCTCTCTGTCTGTGTCTGTCTCTCTCTGTCTGTGTCTGTCTCTCTCATTCTTTCTTTTTCTCTCTCTCTATCTCTCTCTCTCTCTCTCCCTCTCTCTCTCTTTCTCTCATTATCATGATTACACTTACTCTTTCTCTAATACTAATTCTCACACGCTATTTCTTCAGTCTCACCGTCGGACATACACATGTACGTATGAGAAAGAGCAACAGTTCATCGTTATGACAAATTATCTATATATTTTGTGAATAAGTAATGCTTCTGATGTTTATTTGTTGTTGTTTTTTTGAAAATGTGAATATCAGGGACACTCCTTATCTTATGTGAGTTCGTCCCATAGACGGGGACCAAAGAAGGAAAAGGAACGCTAGCCACAAGTTTTGTAATTTTGTTTTGAGGTTCTAACTTATTCTAAAAACTCTGGTCGACAAGGAACTTGCTTTCAGCTTAAAACCAGTTGATTGTTACTACTTTGGGGTGCTGAATTCGAAAAAAATTATTCTCGTTTTTCATGCTAAAATTTAGTTTTTGCGATACATTTTAGCTTGGGGCGGGGTTATTTTTTCTTTATTCTATGTAGACCTCGTAAAAAACGACAAAGGACACTTAAATTTGGATGGGTAATTTAAGGCTGCAAATAAGTTGTTGTGTGGTGTACTGTGTAGCCTACTTTGCCTCCACCCTTAGCCCCACCCATCGGTGTAATGTAATATTAATAAGCACGGTCAACCAATGCCACCCCTCTCACCGGGAGGGGGGTGGGGGTGGGGAAGAGAGGAGGAGAGGAGTGTGTGTGTGTGTGGGGGGCTCATGCCTCATGTAGGCCTACCAACGATTCAAATTCAAGGAACTTTTTGCTTGGCTGGCTGTACGAACAGGGCGGCAAGCATTGACAAACTAATGTAATTTCATAACTTTCGCCTCTGATTACCCATGACAGTTCCCGTGCTGGAGCGCCACTGGAGAACTTTCTCAGGCACTGGTGAGGTTTCATACCCACACCACTCTGAACATCTGCACCGTAAAGGCTCACAATACTCACATCTACCTCCAAATCCAAATCGCATCCCTACCCCCCTTTCTCGCCTGACGGCATAGCGTAGATCTAAAGGTTAGAGCCGGTGAAACCGAACTTGATAGGTTTGTCTTAACAAAAATCAGGGCTGGGTTGGCAAAGCATTTTTCGCCTTAGACAGGCAATAACATTAATACTTTTACATGAAGATTACATTTCCTTTTTTTTTTTAGCGTACCACCGCCAAAGAAAGATTTTGCGTTTTCTTGTCAGCGCTATTTTGCATCAGGTGCCAAAATAAAAGGGGAGCGGATGGTATGGATAACGACGACTTGCACGTTTCTGTCAAGACATTTCATGATGAGGAGTGGAGCGGAGGCTGTGGACATCCAGCCAAAGGAGACAAGCTGTTGTCAGAGTGCGAGCAGTGTGATTTTTACAAGTGATTCTTATACATGTACTGCATATAATTTATATTATTATTATATACATGCACAACGATTGAAAGATGCAAAAGAACATGGTGAGTGTTATTCAAAACAAACAGCAAAAAAGAACTGATGTGACAATCACGCGTCTTCCGATCCTTTTTTTTATTATTTTTTTTTACTACTTTTAGTTTTTAGTTTTAGGCCGGGCACAGTATGTCTTTTACTATTGATAAGACTCGGGAGATGCGTCATTTGGCCTGGACCTCTTTCTCTGGCCTTGGGTTTGGACGAACAACACCTTAGTAGTAGTATGTCTCAGAGACTGAAGTACTATGTCAGCGTATCGTATGAATGGTTGAATGAGTGTACAGACAATTAAGAGTCTTTCCACAGATATTGAAGAGCTGCCTATTGTCTCCGTCAGTGTGGGAATTTATCATTGGAGAACTTGGCTTGCCAACTGACGCATGAAGCACGTTGAAAATGGTCACAAGGGATCATCTTTGAGTTACGTTTGATGGTAAAAAAATTATGAGCAATTTTGTCTGTTGCATCTACCCCACCTTTGGTTTTGCTATTACTATTTTATATAATGCAGGGCAATTTCAGGCTTTCCATAGTAATCAGATCACTTCAGGGGCAGATCATTGTACGGAGGAGAAGGGCATTTTTCTTTTCTTTCTTGCTTTGAACTTTGATAAAAGTAAAAGACCAGAGTTGCATTCTTTCGAAACACAAATTTGACTCCAAAAGAGCCAAGTTCTCTATTGCCTGGACTGGAAGTTCCCTAGCAGAAATGTTATGTTCCTCCTACTAATTACTAACTGTGCCCACCGTAGGAAGGTTGTATTATCACTCCTTCTACTAGACCAAGACTGGTAAAAAAAAAATTTTTTTTTAAAGAGAAAGGCCAACAAGATGTTTCTGTCTTTTTATTAGAATCTATTTTAATGTTATGTCACCCAAGAAATTATTTTGTCTTCTCTTCAGTCCCTGGAAATGGGAGGGGAGATCACTTTTCAAATCATGTTCGCCCTTGAAATAACGTTTCATTCAACAGGACAGCAGCTTTCGGCAGAGAGATTAGTGTGTGCTGTGTGTGTGTGTGTGTGTGTGTGTGTTTGTGTGTGTGAGAGAGAGAGAGAGACTGGGTGTAACGCCCCTATCAAAGCTATTACTATTAGTATGGGCGACAACATCTGAATCTGAATTTAACGGACGTTGACTGCAGTAAGGCTAATAAGACCGCCAAATGGGCTGTAAAGCTTTGAAAACTCGACTCGACCCCAAGAATGCCCATTCTCGGTTTCAAACCAGGGCCATCTGCTCCAACATAACAACTGAGCTCAGGGCCGCGTTAACTTAGTGCAGGGCCCTAGGCTGTCCATGAGCCGCGGGGCCCCTCGATGACGTTGATGCCACTACCACCGCATTGTAACCCCGTAGCCTACTGATGGAAAGCTATACTGTAAAACGTGATTAGATGTAGGCCTACTGGTATCCACCAATAATGTGGATTAAGACGACGACAAGCACATTTTATAGATCTATTTCTATTACAAAGTATGAGGCAGCCGAAACCTATCCGTGTTTGTTTGCTTCGTGGTGGATTACTTCATCTAAACACATACACACCAGATTATAAAAACTCATACCTTATATTTTCTCCTGGCTTTTTGCTGGGCAAATTCCTCGATGATGTCCTCAAAGTCTAGAGATTTTGTCGTTTCAGATTCAATCGTCAAGAGAGCTAGGCCGCTTAGTCTACTTTTCACTCGTTTCAGTACGGAGAAGAATCTTTCACCCTCTACGTTGGCGATAGGCATGGTGAGAAAGAGCCTCAGTGCGATCTCTACATTTGGGAAAGCTGTTGTTGCACCACTTTCGCGCAGATCTTGAAGGAGCCAGGGAGGAGAAAGTGTATCCTCAGACTGAAATGCTGAGTTGACATATCCTGAATACGACACTAGTTCGTCAGGAAATGATGGCTCTAGGTCGTCCTCATGTTGCTGCTGAATGCGAGATGCTGTGTCTCGAATGCTTGTGGCAGGCTTCTAGTGAAGATAAAGGAGAATGTCAAAATCTTGAGCCAGAGTCTTGTAGAAGTCTTCTCGCTTTTCAAGTTCAGACAAAAGGCAGTCAACGATGATAAGGAAGGTGTTTATTCTAAACTGCTCCCGGTGCGACAAAACAGCTTCAACATCTTTCGTTTCATCGTGGAAGCTTTGAACTCTGACACCTCGTCTTTGGGTTTTCCAAGTGTTTGTTCGTCCGTGTCTTGTGTTTTTCTATTACCACGCTGGCACATTACATGTCATAGGAGCAGGCTAGACATTTTCCGTTTGGTAGGAATTCATTCTGAATTTTGTATGGGTGGCCGCCTAAGCCTACTCTTACAGATTTTTTCCCACCAAGGTCTCATGCACACGGGACCTCCGAGATTTTTCACTCTTATCCGAGAAGGCTAGGTAAAAGATCTTACCTACCCAAGATCAGGGGTGTGGCTAACAAACACAGTAAGAAGGAGCCAAGGAATAGCAGTGGAAAGGCTGCAGAAAGAGGAAACTTTTTTTAGTAAGCTTGGTACGGCACTTGCAACACAAATGAATATGGTCACATAAGTGCCGAAGATTAGAGGTGTTACAAGAGAGAGAAAAAAGGAGGGGAGATAAGGTCGACAGTCGTTTGATAGAAAAGAAGGAACACACCACACAAGAGCATCCGTCAACCACCCACAAAAAGGACACGAAAGCAGACTACAGAAAATGGTTAGACTCAGAGCAGGACGGAAAGGAAAACATTTGACTTTTAGAACAACTTTTCCATCACTGTCAAGTTTCAAACCCAGGACCTATTGAACAAGAGGCAAACATAACCTCTTGACCATCAGTGAATTGTGCATGGTCTAAGTCTAACAATTAAAGTTTAATGGAAGTCTTAGTACTATTGGTAGTACATGTGGCTCTGGCTGAAGAGAGTACCAACAATTTAGCTAGAATGGGAAACTACACGTGCCATTATGTAACAAGAAACATCTTTGCTATTGTACACAAAAGAATCAGTGAACTTTCATTTTATCACGTATTTCAGTCTTTCTGCTTGGGTAATCATAAGGTTAGTTAACCTTGATCGACATGTTACGCTTCAAGCAATTACTCTCAAAACAGATCAAATTAATGCAGACAGAGGTGCTTTGCAATTAAAATAAGCTAGAAAAAAATTAAAACAGGCCAGCAAGCAAGGTGCAGGGGGAGAGGATTACAAACAACGACAACAATTTTAAAAAACAATATCTTTGAGACATTTCAAAATTTTATTTGATGTATTTATGGAACACTAACATGAGCAGAATGTATTATATACAGCTGAGGTCACATATAGGCAAAAAATATCAACTAAAATACTTGATGTATAAAAATGTGACTTTCGGGTGGACCAGTGAGTTGACATAATATGACATGAAAAAATGCTCCCACGTGCATTAACATACATACACACATCCACACAATTAAACAGTTCAATCATCATCATTTCTGTCATCAGGCTCCTGGTCTCCATTTTCTCTTTCTTTCTCGGGAGTCCTGGAACGTGAATGTGACCTTGAGCGAGATCTAGAGACAGACTTCTTGCGAGGACTGGCTGATCTGCTTTTGGATTTCTTGTCCTTGCTCTCGCTGCGAGACCTGCTCCTGCTTCGGGATCGGCTGCCACTGCCAGATCTGCTTCTGGAACGACGACTCCTTGAACGTGAGCGGCTTCGGGAACGGCTGAAGGAAATATGGGACACAATAAGTAATTCAAGAGAAAAATAGTACAGTAAAGGTTGTTCCAACAAAAAGGAATATTTCAACACAGCAGTAAAATCAAGCGGAAACTTTCCTACCAGTCTTGAAAACAAATGAGATCATGTACATTCAATAAAGTGCTAGAACCACCATCTCATATTTTTCAGTGCTTCCACCAGCTTCAGCTGAAAAGTAAGGAAAAGTCTGCCGGGGGTATGGGGGCCGCACAGCAGGGTCGAGGGACAGCGTCCCGTTGGGGGTTCAGAGGAAATTGAAATGTTGTGCTTTTAGAGGGTTGAAAATGGCATTTGGGAGCCTGTTTGAACAGAGTACCAACAACCCATATGACCTATTTTTTCACCAAGATTTTGTCTAGTTTGAACACTTCACAATATCTTTCCATTGTTGGCAACGTTTAAAAGCAGGTTCCCCTTCCATTGCTACTATAATTCAATTAATTTGTATTCGCACCATTAATAGAAGGCAAACCTGGGAATAATGAATAGATATGTACCTTCACAATACAGTTACAAGGCGTATACCCTAATTTTCCTCAATTTTCACATCTGAATTTCGCATGTCACAACCTCGGAACATCACTTCGAATTATTCTTTGATTTCAGTAGTTTGGCTGCTCTTTTATTGGCCCATTTAATGCGTTGTTTTTTCAATGCATTTCATACGTGGTGTTTGTCCCAACTTGTTCTTTTATTTTTTCTCACTTTATCCCTTCTTCAGTGCTTCCACCAGCTGAAGCTGAAAAGTAAGGAAAATTCTGCCGGGGGTCTGCCCCCGAAGAAATTGCTTTTAGAGGGTTGAAAATGGCATTTGGGAGCCTATTTGAAGAGATTGCCTAGACTAGAGCCCATAACATTTATTTTTTCACCAACATTTTGTCTTGTTTGATTTCTTCACCAACATAACTTTCCATTGCTGGCAATGTTTAAAAGCAGGTTCCCCTTTCATTGCTACTATAACTATAATTCAATTAATTATTTTGACGTCGCACCATTGATAGCAGGCAAACCTGGGAATAATAAATAGATGTATACCTTCACAATACAGTTGCGCAGCGTATACCCAAATTTTTTCTCAATTTTCACGTCTGAATGTCGCCTGTCACAACCTCAGAACACCACTTCGAATTATTTTTTATTTTACCTACGGCTGGATCGGGCCCGACTCGATCGCCTGAAACTGAAAACAAACACGTTTGTTTTTGAGGCAACCGAGTCGGGCCATCAGCGCGATCGGCCGATCCCATCCGTAGTCGGCACCCACGTATCACCATATTATTATTATTATTTCTTTCATCGCGGCCCGTATTGCGTTCACGTGGCGTAGAATCTTTGCATTGATAATTGATCTAGATCTAGACAAATTTGCAAAAAAAGTTTCTTTCTGACAGTAATTTTTTTGTCTAAGATCACAAGTCAATTTACTTGATCAACGTGCAGATTTTCCAGCCAAGGCAACAATCCGATGATAGACAGAAGGAATGAGTGAATGACAGAAAGGAGGAAATTGGCACAAAAGGTTCGCCAGATTTTGATCCATCTGCAGGTAAAAAATGTACTACCGACCAACCCGCAATGAATTCAAGGGACATAGCGGTATAATGGCCGATTGCAGGAAAAGCGCAATCTGGCAGGGTTTCAATAACTTTAACTTGTTGCCGAGAGAATTACCGTAAATATCCGTAACTACAAGACGATAGGAAGGCGAATACGGAATTTCGGCAGTCCTGCGCTGTCGCAGTTTTTTTTACGGAGGGGGTTGACGATGAAGGAGGAACAAGTACGGAACTGGCAGAAAGTACGGATTTCCGTAAAAATACGGAAGAGTGGAAGCACTGCTTCTTGTTATGTTTTCCTGAGGAAATCTAGTGGCACATATACTCACATATTAACTCACTTGCGACTCGGCCCTTTCACCAGTCACAAGCGTTGAAGACTGGCGTTTTTGGGGGTATTTCAATAAATCACCACAACTCTCAGAATTACCCTATTGTAATTATTTTTTGACACAGTAAAGTAACATTCAAGCTTAATCTAATACAAAAAACTTAAGTTTTTCAAGTCTAATACTTTAATTTGTATGATTTTTTTAAATTGGCATGAATTAGATTTTCCGAAAAATTTCCAGAGACGTGACAAGTAGAATGAATTTCACTACAACAACAAAAATAAAAGTTCAAAGTGTTCTGGTTTGATTTGTATACATGTGCGAGTGTTTGGCGAAAATATAAAAGCTGGTCTGTGCATTGATTCAGACCCATACAGTGAATTACATGAGACAGATGTACGGCACGACGTGATTTCGTTGCGCAAAAAACAACACCGGTACTAGTGCTAGATCTAGCCCTGGAACTACGACTTGGGCCGTGTTCGGGTACATATCCAGGACCCTTACTATTAGACACATCATATTCTGAGACACTAGAACTAGTAAAATGTACAGAAATATAGAAAACGGCGAAATTATGTGATTCTTGTTCATGTGACTTCTTCGACCGTTACTACGACGCGACTGTCGGATTATCAGCTGTATAGAAAAAAACAAAGCGCGAGTTCCGGTCTGTTCAACCCCAGTTGGGGTCACTGTCCTTCACCTTCAATAACTTAAAAACTACTGGCCCCAGAGATACGAAACGAAGTCTAGGTAGCTCAGGCTTGGCCGAACAAGGGTATGAGGCGAGTCTCGCGATCTGTGCGTGATTTGTAGAGCGGAAAAAAAAATTCCAAAGTTGGTCACGCAGGGCTTGTGAGACCCGTCGAGAGCGTCGCGGCTGGGGTCACGCAACTGTTGTGTCAGCCGTCTGAAGTGACTTAAGATGGCACTTCAGAATCCCAGCATTATAAAAAACCACTGGTAATAGTGCCTGTAAGAAAATCATTGTTTATGTCAGGCATACCTGTTTCTTCTTGGTTTGTCCTCAAGGAGGCGAATTTTGCGTCCATTAATCTCAGTTCCATCCAATTTGTCGATGGCATTTCTTAGGTCTGATGATGTGGCAAACTCAATGATTCTGTGAAAATGAGAATGAACACATTAACACTACCAATAAAATACAATTTGTGTAAACATAACATTGCCAAAAACGGACGAAGTAACAAAGCAATACTTTTAGTTTTAGTAGAGGGTTTTATGGCACTCGCAACTGCATTATGAGCGCCAAGGGGTGGATGTCACCAAAGAAGTCCTTACAGGGAATCAGACTAGCTCTGCTCACCTCTCTTTAGTTTTAGTAGAGGTTTTACGGCGCTCGCAACTGCATAAGGTCATATGAGATTAGAGGAGTTACAAGAGAGTAACAAACATAAAAAAGAAGAAGGGTAGATATGGAAAATAGATGTTTGATAGGAAAGAAGAACCAAACCACACCAGAGCACCCACCAACCATCCACTCACCTCTCTAGCTTCAGCAGCACTAAGTCTGTTTCGACTATCAAGACACCCCGGAAATAGCAGGTCACAAGAGTGACAAACACAAAAGAAGTAAAGGAAAATGACAATAGTAAGGATTAGGAAAGAAAAAGCAGCAGTTCCCTGTTGTAGATCAGGCACAGTTATGAGCGTGACATGATGAATCAGCCCATTTACAATTCTACTGTGCTTGAACGAGAAATGTCCCCCCTTTGGGAATGACCTAAAGATACAACAGTCAGTGGCACTGCCCCGGGGACTGAAGCAATACTTTTCACAAAAAGATGTCCAACAATATCTGTACAACAATAGCAGCACTCAGCAAAGATATGGCATCATTTTCAATCAGCCCCGAAAGATGGAACATCACTGTGTTGCTCTTTAACATAAAAGCCAATGGATATCTCATTTAAAAACAAAACAAAATCCAAACGTGTTCATCAATGTGAACACGTAAAGCATGCACACACCAAGGATCTACAAGACTGAATCCTAACACAACTTTCCGCGACTCCTCCAACAACTAAAAGCTAACCGTGATCATGATACATACGGGTAAACTTGATGATGCAGAAATTTGCGATGGTCTAGCAATTTATACATTTCTGAGAGTAAATACCGCATTTCACTAACCCATAGGACAAGCCCGACGAGTGACAATTTTGCCGTACGAGTGCACATAAGTTGCAAAATTTAAAAAAATAAATAAATCTTAAAAACGTGGACAAGCTAACATTACCAAAGCAATACTGCTCCCAAAAACGTGTCCAACAATATCTGTACAACGACAGCAGCACTCAGTAAAGATATGGCATCATTTTCAGTCAGCCCCGAAAGATGGAACATCACTGTGTTGCTAAAGGCATGTGCACACACTACAGTAAAGGATCTCTAAATTGATATAGGAAACTATTCTTTCTGCTCAGTTACAACTTGAAGCTAAAGAAATTCATGATAAATACTGGAAAACTAAATGACATGGTGAGACATTTGAAAAGTATAAATTGAAAAAATGAATCAATAAAGTAAAATCATATCATACACGCTCACTAAAACAAATACTAAAATATGACAAGAATCGACTCATTGAGCTTTACCACTAGTCTCACACAAAAAGGGATTTTTCAAAAATCTTTTTGACGGTTATTAGCAGCATTCAGGAAAACTATGGCATCATTTTCATTCAGCCCCGAAAGATGGAACATCACCATGCTGCTCTATATACGAAGTTTACACTAAAAGTGACAAACTACTATAGCACTGCAACTGAACCTGATCAAACTCAATCTGTCGCTCCAACTCAACTAATACTATACCAACAATTTTACCAATGTCAACTTCCATTGCGTTTTAACATGTTGAACTTTGCCCCCAAGAGAGGGAACGGGTTTGGTTTTCAAGTGCAATTTCTCAGATTGTTGGATGTAAAAGCTACACTCCCAAACTTGTACCGCATATTACTAATAAACCCTAAACCCCCCATCACTCGAACAGAAGTAAAAATATTTGTGATTTAGAATAAGGGTTGCCTGGTCTCTTGAGATAAAATAGCCATTTCCAAGCAATAAATGTCCTTGGAAACTGCAAAATTTGAAGTTTATAAAAACTATGACAGGTGTTTTTCAAGTGACATCTTCACACAAATGGCCATGTACAGTGTTGAGCTCCCCAAAAGGTCAATAAAAATGGCTTAATGGTAGGTTAAAGATCAGTTTCTTCAACTTCCAGCATTTTGATGACGGTCAACGTCTTTATGACACATAGTCTTGATGATTTTTAGACAGATCAAATTTACAAATAGGAGGATACAATTTTTCTCAATTGTTTTCTTTTTAGTTTTAGTAGAGGTTTTCAGCGCTCGCCACTGCATAAGGTCATATGAGCGCAGTTTTCAAGTTGGATAAGTTATTTGATTGGCACAAATTTTTTTAAACTAATACATGCCACTTCCCCCTCCCCCATACATTTCACATTAGCCCTGAAAAAGTCTTTCCCTTCAGAGAAAAGATATATACAAGCAGGGTCACTGCCACACATATGACAAACTACATAAACAAAATTAAAAAGAAAAAGCAGCATTCAGGTGAATTATGGCATCATGGCGTTCAGCCCCGAAAGATGGAACATCATTATGCTGCCCGAAAAGAATGTGATCAAAGATTAAGGTAACAACGAGACAATATAACAGCAACTAGCCTATGATTCTTAAAAAAGTTTTCGTAAGAGTTTTACGGCACTTGCAACACAATAAGGTCATTTAAGTGCCAAAGAATAGAAGTGTTACAAGAGAATAACAAACAAAAAAGGAGAGATAAAGACGACAGATGTTTGATAGGAAGAAGGAGCAAACCACACCAGAGCACACGCCAACCACCCACACCTATGATTTTGAAAGAAATAAATACGGACTACACAGAGTAAGCATTGTTCCATAACAAATGAAACCAGTATATTTAGGCACAATATAGTGAATACACACCCCTCATTCCTGTGTTTCTTGTGGGCATCTGCGTAGGTGACTTCACCAGCTTGACGCATGTAATCCTTCAAGTCCTTAAAAAAAAGGAAAAAGTGTAATTATACATCACAATAGATATGAGCACACCGGACAGTTTGTAACAAATAACCATCCCGTTTCTAAGGACAATTTGGGACCCAAAGAAAGAAAACTTGAGAAACCTGCAAATTCCATCTTTCAAGAGCTTGGATCTCGTTACTTCTGACATGGCAACGTACTGGGAAGAAACCTGTAGATCACTGCAATTTGTTCCAACAATCAATCAAACCAGAATTACTATGATGCAAAATTCTAGTTTGATGCACAGAATTTTTCAAAACTTCAGAATACTGTAAATTATTGCAAAGAACCTCTATGCAGATTTGACAAGGTGTTCATCTGATTTTTCTTGTAAAGAACGGATCAATGACTAGTTTGAGAAAAGACCCCCGGAAAACACGTTTCAATTACAACAGATCAATCTACAATTTAAGGAGGTACTGGGCAACACTGCCATACCCTAAGCTATCTGAGCGAATCCACTTTTATCCGTGTTAAGATTCAAGAGATAAAAAAAGAATAGTTGGAATACTGCCACCAACTACTTGCCCTTCCCTGAATTTATCTTAGTGCCTCAGAATAATGAGTGATTTACTACCACTTCATGTAACACTTAAAGTGCAAAGTGGATTACCTCCAGGCTGTAACTAGTGGGAGAAGCCCTAGTAGACAAGCATGGGGAGCCCTAAACATCATCTTCAGTCGCCACCTGCCAGAGGTCGTCTTTAATTTCGTCTTTCGTCACATCATAGCTCCCAGTCATAACTGCATCTTCTTCACCACCTCTTACAACTTCTTGGCTGCATTGTGAACTCTTCCCCCCTTTGGCAAGCCAAAGATAGAAGTCCACTGGTATAGCCAGACCAGAGCAGAACCTCTACAGGCACTATATTCCAGACATCTTACGCCTTCCCTCATCTTCAGGTAATAACCACTCTCTTCAAGATGACATCAGATGGAGGAAACTTAAGCCTTAACTTCCAATCAGTTACGGCCCTGAAAAGAAAAGTGCTGACTGGCCACCCCTGCCAAACGTTTCAGCCAGCCAGCCTGCCAGAGACAATCGACTGAAGGGACGAGATGGGAACCCAGACACGGCAACACGCAGCCAGCACATTGTGTAGGCTTCAGAGTCATCGCCTCAGTCAAGACTCATCATCACCATCGCGTTAGGAAAGTCTTAAGCCCGGACATCTAGAGTGCCCTTGATCTTCATCTCTCAAGAGGGAGCTTATGAGGAATGAGAATAATAACTTCTTTTAATAAGGTGCACAAAAGATGGTAACTTGATATCAGTCTAAACATATTTCAGCACACAAACACAATTTTTAGAGCTTACCAACATCACTGGAAAACAAAAAAGTAATCCATACATAACACCTGAAAGAAACAAGCATTGGGAAAAATTTGATTTGCTATAAGACAAAAAAAAAAGAAAAAAATAAATAGAGAGAGACCAATCTATACCAATCAAAACATTTTAAAAGAAAAATGATACGTGAAATATACATACCTGCCAACTGACTCGCGACGACAGGTTCTCAACTATCAATCTATGGTCTGTTCTGGTTGGAGGCCCATACCTTGAACAAAAAAAGACAACCAAAAAACAAAATAAAAAGTCATCAAGACAAAAACACATACAATTCATCAAAGTAAAAGTAATCAGCAACCAAGTCAAATCACACCCATCATCAGACTGCTCAGGGTACACACTGACTGTAAAACACATCCAGTGTTTCCCCATGAGCAGACTAAAATGAGGGTCAAATGACACGCATGAGGTTATCATCATTTTACATCAATATCATCAGGAAAATAGCCTCTAATCCCAAAACGCACAATGGCACTTGAAAACCAAACACTTTCCTATCCCTTGGCAAACTGAAAAGTTTTCAAAATTGACGACAATTGAACCTGCCCAGCGATTCTTTGAAAGTTTAAACAGCTACTGAAAATACATTGTATATGTCCAAAAACACTCCTTTCAACCCCATGCTCCAATCTTCCACCCACTAAAATGTAAACAAACCTCCCAACACATCCAATAAAATAAAGTAATCAGCAACCAAGTCAAATCACACCCACCATCAGGCTGTTCAGAGTACACACTGACTGTAAAACACATCCAGTGCTTCCCCATGAGCAGACTAAAATGAGGGTCAAATGACACGCATGAGGTTATCATCATCTTACAGTCACACACCAGGAACACAATAAACGCCATTCAAATTGATTTGATAGAGTGGATTATTTGCGACACTGACACGTTTGCACCAAAACAGATGACTGTCCTAAAGCCAATACTGGACAGACAATTATGTCACAATTATAAAACACTTCATAAAATGATGCTTTACTATGTCTAATTTTAAAATTTTGTAAACAAGCCAATTTTTTAAACTTTAGTATTTACTCCAAGGTTTGTATAATCAAAAGCCTCTCATGAATTTGATACATTCTACCAGAATATGCTGAACAATAAAATGCCTGATACATGCCATGCGAAAAGGAGCTATCCGTACCCTGATCAGTGTAAACAGGACAACATACATCTGTGCATATAATTTGCAGGTATTTTTCTCAGTTTTAATTACACTGTAAATCCCCATAAAAAAATTTTTTTTTTTAAATGTCGAACCTCCTCCCAACTTGCTTTTTAAAAAAGATACAACTACACGGTATAAGACATCCAACTCCCCCTTACAAATAATTCTCTCCGCAACAAATCTGTCGGAAGAAAAAGACAGCGTTTTAACTGCTTGTTGCCAGGCAGGAAACTTTTCGACAAGCCTGCTCAATGCACAAAAGCTTAGAAGAAAATATTGGCCCAACCATAGGCAGGGAGATTCAAAACAACAGAAGCCTGGAGGACCAGCAGTGAATAGCAGCATTCACACGAGTGACATGGATGGAAAATCCATTAAAAGATAAACCAGAAGACCATGTCGTGGAGATTGGAAAAGCAATTCCATTGTGTTGCTAGCTTACGTAGAATATTTCACCCAAGATTTTTCCCCAGCGAAAAAGCCAATTCTCGAATGCATAGACTTCAATCTTGTGTCCCTTGTGAGTCACACACCTCGATATATATATATATCCCTTGGCAATATAGTATCCTATAATGGTTGACCAAAACTATAGAATGTTTCTCGCAGATCTTTCAGTTGACATAACTACAAAGTTATCGAGGTACACATATATTTCTCTTCAAATCCATATTCCCCTCAACTTCAGTATGTGCAAACAAGCCTCATACATAAACATCAATGAAAATAAAGTAATCAGCAACCAAGTCAAATCACACCCACCATCAGGCTGTTCAGAGTACACACTGACTGTAAAACACATCCAGTGCTTCCCCATGAGCAGACTAAAATGAGGGTCAAATGACACGCATGAGGTTATCATCATCTTACAGTCACACACCAGGAACACAATAAATGCCATTCAAATTGATTTGATCGAGTGGATTATTTGTGACACTATTACACGTTTGCACCAAAACAGATGACTGTCCTAAAGCCAATACTGGACAATTATATAACACTTCATAAATATGATGCTTTACTAGGTCTAATTTTAAAATTTTGTAAACAAGCCAACTTTTTAAACATTTAGTATTTACTCCAAGGTTTGTATAATCAAAAGCCTCTCATGAATTTGATACATTCTACCAGAATATGCTGTACAATAAAATGCCTGATACATGGATTGCGAAAAGGAGCTACCCGTACCCTGATCAATGTAAACAGGACAACATATATCTGTGCATATAATTTGCAGATACTTTTCTCAAAGTTTTAATTACACTTTGCAAATCCCCATTTAAAAAAAAACAACAAAAAACTGCTGAACCTCCTCCCAACTTGCTTTTTAAAAAATATATAATTACACGGTATAAGACATCCAACTCTCCCTTACAAATAATTCTCTCCGCAACAAATCTGTCGGAAGAATAAGACAGCGTTTTAACTGCTTGTTGCCAGGCAGGAAACTTTTCGACAAGCCTGCTCAATGCACAAAAGCTTAGAAGAAAATATCGGCCCAACCATAGGCAGGGAGATTCAAAACAACAGAAGCCTGGAGGACCAGCAGTGAATAGCAGCATTCACACGAGTGACATGGATGGAAAATACATTAAAAGATAAACCAGAAGACCATGTCGTGGAGATTGGAAAAGCAATTCCATTGTGTTGCTAGCTTACGTAGAATATTTCACCCAAGATTTTCCCCAGAGAAAAAGCCAATTCTCGAATACATAGACTTCAATCTTGTGTCCCTTGTGAGTCACACACCTCGATATATATATATCCCTTGGCAATATAATATCCTATAATGGTTGACCAGAACTATAGAATGTTTCTCGCAGATCTTTCAGTTGACATAGCTACGAAGTTATCGAGGTACACACATATTTCTCTTCAAATCCATATTCCCCTTAACTTCAGTATGTGCAAACAAGCCTCATACATAAACATCCATGCAAATAAAGTAATCAGCAACCAAGTCAAATCACACCCATCATCAGGCTGTTCAGAGTACACACTGACTGTAAAACACATCCAGTGCTTCCCCATGAGCAGACTAAAATGAGGGTCAAATGACACGCATGAGGTTATCATCATTTTACAATCATACCTTACAAAATTATTCCCCGCCCATCAAATGCAAAGATCCTCATTCTTTCCCAGCAACACAAAAACAGGACAAATAAATCTTGTAAAACAAAGTGTTTACACCTTAGAGACAAACTTGATCACATATTCAGGCTTCACAATGGCACACAAATATAAAACCATTCCACTACAAAAGCCAACAAAATCCAATTGATTTGAAAAATTTTCAGAGATGGAAATCCATTACTCTTTTGAATATTTAGAGGGGAAAAAATGACCCAAAAAAACTTTGCAAATATGGCGGAATCTCCAGTGCAAAGAAGTATTCACTCCAATTAAAAACCAGCAATTCAGGAAGTTATTGCATTAAGTTTTGACAAGTTCACATTTTTCTGCTTTCCTTTCAACTGTAACAACAATGAAGTATAATTCCACAGAGGAGAGAGCTCAAAAGTACACATGTGGAAAAATTTTGCCCCAGTGCAAAGAAATAAGGATGGTAATTTGTCTCCATATGCTTACTTGTCCCTCCTACCACCACCACCACCACCACCACGGCGTCCTCTAAAGCCGCGGTCACGAAACGAGTCGTCACTGCGCGGCCCTCGGGCGTGCTCGACGCTCACTCTGAAGGAAAACAGAAAAATGCATATAGAACAGTGTAACATAAACATGAATGAATAAATGAACGCTTACTTGTCTAACCAGACAGACGAGCCTCTAGACCTAGAAGATGGAGGCCTACCAGATCCTCGAGCATGTTCAATTACAACTCTGAAAAATAAAATACAAATCATACAAATAAGTATGACAAAATATATTTTTTAAATTAACGCGTAAATATAGGATAGAATCACATCCGTCGTATCTATAGCTAAACATCACAAGTAATGACTAATAAAAACGTTTACCTTTCACCACAGAGTTCTTTCCCGTTTAACTCATAAACAGCATCATCAGCATCTCTGTAGTCATCAAATTCCTGCAAACAAAAATATTTAGACCATAAGAATCAGCAAGTCACATGTAACTTGGAAGCAAAGGAATAGTATAGTCTCTGCCTAAGATCCCACCTCTTAGTCTTATGGTCCTGATTCGCTTAAAATCCCGCTGTTTTGGAAAAACATAATTTTTACTACATTAAAGTCACCCCTAAGATCCTGCTCTGACCCGCCCCAGTAACTAATTTCGGCTATGAACCCTTTTTAGGTCAAAATTTGGTTTGCCCCCCCCCCCCTTTTTTTAAAGGGAAAAAAAAGAACAAGAAACCTGGGCGCGCTCAGCTGATCAACCAAGTAGCAAAAATGTACGATCATTGTACCGTCTGTCGCATTATGGATCATCCACTCTCATGAACGCGATCACACCTCTGTTGTAATCTCGATAAGCGGTTACAATGTTTGCGCCTGACGGGATCGCACCAAGGTGTGAACTCGATGTGTTGCTTTCCTGATCACCTGAGTAGTCCGCCTGATTTTACATCCTACAGTAAGTGGGGAGGGCCTACAAGCAAGCATTGGACTGCATTCCATCAAACTCAAACTGAACTTGCAGGGTGTCTTTGCTGAAAAAATTTACTACCTGGAAAAAAAAATTTAATACCCAGCAAATCAAGCCCCACACAAGCTCGAAAAAGGGAGTTCATTTGCGCCATCACTAACATATATTATCATTACATAATATATGGAACGAAAATAACTCGCAACAACGTCCAGTCAACAAAATAGAGGGTAGACAGACGATCGCAAGCTTGCTCGCCGCCAGATTTAGTTTTAGTAATGTTTTTACAGCGCTCGCAATTGCATGAGGTCATATTAGCGAGAAGGGGCGGATGTCAACAGAAAAATCCAAAACGGGCAACCAAGCTTACTCTGCTCACCTTTCTAGCCTCAACAGCACAAAGTCTGCTTCAACTAGGAAGCCTGGAAAAAGTGGGTCACAAGAGTGACAAACATACAAAAGAAGTAGAGGAAAAAAAATAACGATAGTAAGGATGAAAAGAAAAAAGCAGCAGTTCCCCCTATGTTGTTACTGCACAGTATAACATGACATCGATAAATCAGCCCATACTCACAATTCTACTGTGCATAAGAGCCAGCCCCCCCCCCCCCCGGTAACGGCCTTAAGACACTCCACCAGTCAGTACTGGTTGGGGGAAGAAGAGATGTTAAGATTTAGACCTAATGTGTGCACACAGGGTGACTGCCAAACCCGCTTCTCGGTTTTCCAGGGGCGTGTTACACAACACACACAAGTAAAATATACCCAGTCAACAACATGTCAGTGTTGCACTGGGGTCTTGTTTGACTAGCCTAAGTATTTCAGTGTGTTATAAATTTTCCTCTCATTATCATATATTAAAAAATGAATCCTGCTTTGAGCGTTCGGAAGGGCCTTGAACAAGAATTTTGACTGTGAAGAACCAATCTGGGTGTCATGACTCATATTATGAACATTAAAGGCAAAAATTATTGCTCAAACTCAATAACTTGAATAGCCCCAGTAGACCCATGAAGTGAGAGAGTTGTAAGAACTGTGTGTGTGTGTGTGGGGGGGGGATGCAGTGACAATGAAAATCTGCCAGCCTTGAACAGAAAGCTACAATATTGTTATAATTTACTATCACCCATCCAAAGTTTTTGTCCTCTGGTGTTGCCTTCAGCACTCCCACCCCCTCTCCCGAGTGCATCTTTTAAAAAAATCAATAATCCCCAACCCCATTCCGTAGCCCTAGGCCTATACTTCGCAACGCTCAGACTTTGAATGAACTTTGGCGACCCCAACAACAAACGGCGTCGCAGGTTCATTGGCGGGTCACGATGGCGAGCCTGACAATATAAAAATCAGACGACGCTTGTACTTTCTCACCCCCGGTAAACGAATATTATATCACAATCGCCGCCGGCAAAAACGGAGTCATGTACTGCGGCTTGGGTTCAATGAAGCCTGTTTTGGCTTCATCACTCTGTATGCAGATGAATTTACGACCGTTTACCAAATGTTTACTACCTTCACGGTGCATTTACTACGATTTACGAACTTGACGACCAGGGTGCCGAATTTACAACTTTGCTGGACACCCTGACTTGTGGATGTTTTCTCAACCATCCCTCTCGTCTTTCAGTTTTGCGCTCGAACTTTCTAGTCAGACTCATGGACGGTCAGATCGCCTTTACGTAATGTAGCCATCTGTTGGCAGTCAACTTGCCTTTCATTTTAAAAAAATAAATTAGTCTGTGTGGTCACAACACAACGAATTAAGATGCAACATGACATGGGCGGGGAACTCCATCAGAGAGATATAAAGCAATAGATTTTTGGTGAGGGCATTCTGAAAAGAACTTTTAGTTCGCCTAAGATCCCCAACTTTCCTTGCTCCTGAGCCCGGGATCTTGCGCACAGACTACTGTAAAACTCCAACATTACCAAGATGTAAAAAATAACATATAACACACTGGGCCCCTCAAACTTTACACCCCCCTTAAAAAAACAACCCATTTTCAACCTCCCATAGGAAGGAAATCAATAAACAATTATATTTGTTGGTTCATTGACTTTCATACACCCACCTTCTTGGCAATTCACTCCTTGCACCACTATCTTACTTACCACAAATCCATATCCATTTTTTAGCATTATATCTCTGATTCTGCCAAATCCTCTGAAGAACCGATCAATGTCCTTTTCCCGGGCATGATAAGACAAGCGACCAATGTACACTCTGGTCCCCATCTTCAACCTGAAATAAAAAATGTTTGAACACTGAAGAAATGAAATTATCTTTGGGTGCTAGACCTGCATGTGAGCCTCAACCAGATTGAAAATTTTGTGCGCACCCCCCCCCCCCCTAATAACTTATAAGAGGTTTTAAATTGTGGGTGTCATAAAAGGAAAGTCTTCCGAATAACGAGCGACCACCCCAACAAACACATTAAAAAAGAGACCTAACCCTAACCCAAACATGAACCTGCAACGGCTCTCATGTAAAAAGGCCAGCACACGAAAAAAGAAAAAAAAAGCACTCCAAAACAAACAAGGAGCATAATATGGCCTACATTGCTGTAATATGGTTTGATACAATAATACAATAGAATTAGAATATGAATCTTCCATATAGTTATAGATCTAGTAATCTAAATAAATCTAGATCTAGTAGAACAGGTGAATAGGAATAGGCCTTGAACGAGAAATCAGATTTCCGATTTCAGACGATTGTTGGCGAACACGCGGGTCTAGGTGCAAATTTGAACTGCTAAAAGGAAGGGGAGTAGGAGGTGCAATTTGGGGGTAGATGTTATCCCACCCCTTTCTTTCTTCTGGCGCTGTGGCGTCAAACAGTTACCGATGCCGACAGCACGCAGGAACTCGACACTTGCCCGGGGGTCCTTAAAAAGTGCTGAAAGTGGGTTACTGAAATGTCCCAGCAGATGGGTTCTGACCCGATAGTTGGCGGGACATCTCATGAACACATGGTCCATAGTTTCGTAATCCTCCTTGCAGGCTCGACCGGACGGATCAGGGTTGTCTGCTGGCGCAATTTTGTGGAGATAGGGCTTGAATTAGGTGTTCAGGAGGGCAGCAAAAATTGCCTCGGTGGGGCCTAAAAATCAGAGGGCACTGATACAATTTTCTAGGGCACCAAGGCAAAAATTATAGCTGATCATTTTGTTCATTAAAGTTGGTAATACTGGATCGTGCATCACAACGTGAACATAAATAACAATACAATTTATTCTTGCTCTCAACATAAGTATAGAGTTATCGGAAAATTTGTAAAATCATGAATGAAAACTAAGTAAACCACTAGATGATCAGGATATTGAAAATATGTTGGCACACACAATATAGATAAAGACTGGCTTATGTTTGTCCCTTATGGGAAAACAAGTGATTTTAAAAAGTATCACCAGAGAAGATGATTTCATGGAATAGTGCTGTATTAGCAGGACGTCTATTTGTCAGACACATCTCTTGCCACTTGGCAATGCAGGGTTCTGGATTGAATTCTTTGATCTCAGGACCTTTGGGACATATAAGCATGATCTTTTCAAGCATATCTCTGGAAAGTAGGGTTGGGGCGAGCGGACGGACGGCCATGAGAGCGAACTGCGAAACTCAAGACAGTTCGTTTTTTGGGTCCGCTCCACAATTTGACTCTCTCAGAGAGTGGACTGCGGACCTCAAGCCATTTAGTTTTTTTGGGTCCGCTCCACAATTTTTTCACTGGGCAGGCGGGCAAACGGACGAACTCTAGCAGACGAGATACTCGACGCGAGATTAGACCCGTCGTCTATGGTTTGTTAATTAGGCCTGATGTTTCAAACCACTAGTGGTGCCACAGTGAGTGAGAGAGGCTGGTGACGTAGTACTATGTGTGTAACCTTTCACCTCGTGCTTGGGGCGCACTGTGTACGTTCCAATTATCTCAAAGGCCGGGGGGGGGGGGGGGGGGGGGGGGCTGTAAGTTGTAGGCAATGGAAGGAGTCGTTCCCGTCCACCCGCCCGCTCGAATGCATGGAGTCGCTCGGTCCGCCCGTCCGCTCGCTCGCTAAACGAACTGTTGTCTCTGTCCGATGTGTTCGTTACCCGTCCGCTCGTTTGCGGGTAATGCCAGCGGGTCGTTCGTTACAGTTACCTAAAAGTGGTTTGCCAGGTGAGTGAAACTTTTTCTGACAATAATATTTTTCTGCCTTTTATTTTGTTTTTTCCTTTGATCATTGTTTTATACTTTGGATCATCGGTTTTTCTTTTGATCGTCTTTTTACTTTTGATCATCGGTGTTTTCTTTGATCACTGGCCACTGGTATTTTCCTTTGATGACGGTAAGTTTATAATGTTCTTTTTGTTGATTTTCTCAGAGAAACCGCACTTTGTGATTTTCTCAGAGAAACGCACTTTGCCGACACAATTGGCGCTAAGTTAGGCCTATATAAGTTTTTAGCCTTGGTATTTTTTTACTTTCCCTCCCGTCTCACACTCAGCTACCAGTTGTCTATTTTCTACTAAATATTGATGCGCAGAACACGAATATCAACTTCATTTCCGTCGCAAATTAATAGTTTTTGAAATATTTGAATGTTTTTAACCGAGATAGACGTGCTTTGGACCAATCGGGGGGTACCAGGGGGGCCTGCCTCACTGGGGTAAAAGAAAATCTGGGGGGTTACAGGGGGGCATGCCCCCCTGTTTTTACCCATAATTTGATATTTTACAGTTAGATTTGAAATTGTCTTGAAAAAAATTGATTTGCGACAGTTTTAGTGGCTTTATGTGTGATCTGCAGCAAACAATACTGCAGTTTGACCCCTGAAACAGTGCATCTGTGTGCGGGAGTGAAAGTAAAAATTTACCTTAGCCTTTTTGAAGTGCGTGCTTTTTCATCCTAACGTTTTGGAAATAGATCTACCTGTTTTTTCATCAGTTTTTGAGAAAGTTTGCATTTAATTTGCTACTGCAAGTGTTGATCTCTAATCTGAGTGTTTTTTCTCATGACCTGTGAGATTTGGGAAGTGCGTGTTTCTAATGGAATGTTGTGATTTTAAAATGTAATTATTGTATGGTAAGTGACTCGCTATGTTTATACTAATTTTCCGATGGCTTTGAACTTATTGTTCGAACACGGACGTGATGAAGCTAGTGTCATAAACTTTGGTGCTTTTTCGGTAGTTCCCACCCCCCCCCCCCCTTATTTGAGCCTGACCTACTTCTAGATTTATACGTTTGATTCGCGGTGAGCTAAGATATCAAACCTAACAACAGCAAAACATTAAATTGTGGTATGAATCCCCCCTTCCTATTTTTGGTTAGGTCAGGGGGGCAAGCCCCCATGAAACCCCCCTACTCTTGGGGCCAAAACCCGTAAATAACAATTGCGGGGTGGGAACTATCGAAAAAGCGCCAAACTTTTTGCAACAGAACATTGTTTTGTGAGTAAACCCACCGAACTGTGCAACATGTGGGCGTATTTTGAGCTTAGTGAAATCCGGCAGGGGGGAGGAAAAGTTTTTCGCTGTCCAGCGCATAAGAGTTAAAATCTCTCAGAAAAAACTCCCAACTTAAAATTGCATAAAATTTTGCAACTTATTTTTGGGGGGGCTTTTAAAACTCCAGCAAACTCTACACAAGTGTTAGTTGGGGTGAATGAAGAAACCGTGGTGCAGTGGTACCAATATTGTAGAGATATTTGTGCAAACTGGCTAGTAAACAACCAATACGTGATAGGGGGGCCCCGGACACATCGTCGAAATTGATGAAAGCCTTGTGGCCAAGCGGAAATGGAAGTGGCTATTCTCGTCCGGGGTGAGAATAGAAATACGATTTACCTCTCACCCCGGGTGAGACTTGCCAGCGTAGGTAGGCTATTCTCACCCTGTGTGAAACAAGACCTGTTTTTCCTTATTTTGGAATACTGTCTATCGGTGTGGATGATCAAATTGATAAAATCCAAGAAAAAATTACGTTATAGCACAACAGTAAGCTAACAGCACAGAATTCTATAATTCTGTTATCAGTGCAGAATTCTGTGGTTCAGGGTGAACGCTTCACTGGTTGGCCTAGGCTATAACGGACATGCCGTTAAACTTAGAAATGACGCATATTTCTGATTGGCTGCTAATTTTAGTAATGTGATGTCATCACTTCCTGGGATACCCACATGGAACGACGTGTTTTCGGTAATATTTCGGATTTTCTAGATCTAGATTCTAGATTAGATCTAGATCTAGATTTCTAGATTACTTTCAAAGTAGATTCTAGATCTATTAGGCCTACCTGGACATGATGGAAGACCGCAAGAAAATTGCCGTAAAGACGCAGGAGGACTAGATAATATCTAGATCTAGATCTAGATATCTAAATTTAGATCTACCACACCCCCCCCCCCCCTCCTGCATTTTTAATCACTAATACATTTTTTATACTAAACAACAACTTCAAAGCAACTCTACAAATTAGGCCTATAATTTATGGAACTGTTGGTCAGTCTGGAGGAGGAAAAGACCAAAAAAAAACTGTCCGGGACCGGAATCGAACAGCTCCAAAAGTCATTGCTCGACATCAAACGCAGACGCGCTATCAAATCAGCTATCAGAACTTCCGAGAAAATGGTGTAGATTAAGCATAATATACATACACTTCCATCTTTGGTGCCATGCGGTTGTCTATACTTAGATGTAGTCACTGGTCTGACGTCAAACAAGATGGGCGCCTTACCTAAAAATAGTTTGCATCATTTCTACTTTTAATCGCATGTCTATAACGGTGAACGCCCACCGGGTGAGAAGAAAGTGGCTATTCTCACCCGCCCGGAAGTTCTCGCAAGATCAACTCCTCCCCTCTTCTCTCTCTCTTTCTGAATACTGTCTATTGCCCATTGGTGTGGACGATCAAATTGACCAAAACAAAGTTAAAAAATGATGTTAAAACACAAAAGTAAATAAATTTGGTTGTCTACAAAGATGCTACGGCTATTTAACTTTTCGAATCGAGCCGAACTACGCGGGTCCCCATTTTGTTTTGCCTGGAAATTCTCGCGCTACTCTAGGCACTTGGATATCGGCCCGCGCGGCCCGAGATTTTCGTTCACCTGCGGCCGCCGCGTTTTGTGTCAGAAATCGGGCCCCGTGAGGGGGGTACCTATTTGTTTTGTTTCGTTTATAGTGTTCTTTTCAATTTATGGATTACTTCCGCCTATCAAATTAAAGAGGAAAGAAAGGCGCGTATTATGGCGTTTTCCACTTCGGGATCGGTTGTGTGTGTTCGGAGTTACAAGGAGTTAAAAATAAGGTAAGTTCAAGCCTTTATATTTAAAGAGTATATCTTTTTTTTTTTAGGTACTCCTCACAGTCTTTTCTTCAACCTTTTATCTCTTTTATTTGTTAATTTCAATGTTGTACGTTGAGGCATAAGCGTGTGAGCCCTAATTTAAATAGGTCACTCTCCATGAATGGGCATGACCTATTATCGATCGCGCTGCTGAGCGTGAACCGGGAGGTCATGGCGGCCATTGCGGAAAGCGAACTTAACCCACGCTAACGTGTATTGTTGGCGTTTATTACCTCTTAAACGGCATTGAAGAATGTTTTATAGTAGAAGATATGATTCATTTAAAATTTTGGAATGTAATATGTATCACTGTTGTATAATTTTTATGAATTTGCACCATGTAACAATCAGTAAGGAGTCTTGGGTGGGGGGAGGGAAATGTAACAGCCTTGGCCTTGTTTTGTTTCTGTGTTACTCTCACTGTTAGACCATCGATTTCACGCAAGTTTTTACTTCTTTTGTGTGCTTATATTGTCTTTAAATATTTTTTCTTCTTAATTGTTTTTGTGTGTGCTTGTTATTTAAATATCTCTTTAAATTTTCATGTACTTTGTCCAGTTTGTTTTAAGATACATGTTTATTAGAAGATGTTTTTTCTCTTGTCTAGTCATCTACACTCTCCCTTTACTAGAGTTGTAGTGTGAAAATGTCAAATTTCCATCCACTGCTCACAAATGAATTTATTTACTTCATTGATGAATTCATTGCTTTGCTTTTTTTTTTCTTTCCACAGCCCCTGATCACAACCTGCCACTGTTCCTTTGGATTTATTGACAGCTCACCAGAATAAATCCTGACTTTAATTAAAATCCAGAAATGCTTGCGGAGTTGGTCGAATTCACAGAAAAACTTGTTTGAACAAGTTGCAAAAAAATTGAGCACTTAAGAAAGCATTTGTTGCAGACAAGAAAAAAAAATTGACATTAATTTAACAATATCAAGTTGGCAGACTGGGTGAACTAAACAATTGCCAGAAATAAAGAAAGAATAAATAAGTATTGTGACACAATTGCGTGCTTCAAAAAACATGTCATATTTCACAACTAATTGTCTTTGAAGAAGTTGAACATTTAAATAAACACAATAAAAATATAATGAAAAACTTGCTGAACAAACTGAAGTAATAAAATTAGAAGAGACTATTGTTTAACTTACAGGGCAATCTCATGAGTTAAAGATGTAAAAGAGAAATCAAAGATAAAGACAGAGTAATTGATCATTTACATGACAAATTAAAACATGAAAGAAACATTCTAACAATAACATGCAAAATGAATTTAAAAAACAGTATTATCATGAATTAAGGTAGACTAAAAAACACTAGTTTGCAGCAGCTGTAGACACAAATGTTAACTTTAAAAACTTCTATGCTCATCTTATTTTAGGCGACCAGCTGTTTTGTTAAAATATATTATATTTTTTAATCAGTTTTTTGTTAATTCTACTGATATTTGATATGTAGATGTTCCAAAAGAAAGGCCTTAAAAAGACCTTCAAAATGATACCTCAATTATTGATGTAGCTTAATTTATAAGAAAGTTATGGCAAAATATATTGACCGCAGGACGATGCGGTCACGTTACACAACACAGTGTTACATAATATTACCCAATATTACCCACCACGACATATTTTAAAAATATCGTCTGACTGTTATTTTGTTCTCAATATCACAAGGTTTCAGAAAATGTTTGGTTTTAGCATGTACGCAGCAGCATATTGAAGCAGCTTACATTTCCCTTATTGTCCTTGCTGTTTCGATCACAAAAATTGCCTTTTTTTTCTATATAGATGTTATCCCCTCGAAAAGATCTTTAAAATGCAATATCTCAAAAACGGTTCAACATAGAGCAATAACTAAGGTAGCGTTGGAATCGTGTCACTGAGCTCTTTGCATTGGTATTGTTTTTAAAGCAATTTGAAAGCTTTGAAATTTTTATCCAAGTGCCTAGCTACTCCTCTCTCTCTTTCTCTCTCCACTGCCCACAGACAAAATTGTACGCTTTTAGTAGGCTACAGTTGTAATGGAACGTTTGTTCACGGCACAGAATTCTACAATTTTTCTGTGATCACAGTGTAGAATTCTGTGGTTTAGGGTGAACGCGCACTGGGTTAGAATAGCCACAAGACTTGCCTGCACTATTCTCACTCCGGGTGAGAATAGAGGTGGCCGGGTGAGAATAGCCAAAAGATTCGCCTGCGCACGCCTCCCTGAATTTTACCATAAATAATTGCCCCCCACCACATTTTTATTAGGACAGGGGGCCCCCTGAAACCCCCCTCTCTTGAGGCCAAAACCAGCGAATAACAATTGCGGGGTGGGAACTACCGAAAAAGCACCCTGAAAGGAGATGGAAGAGATAGAAATCTAGAATCTACATAACATTTTATTGTCCAATTCACTTAGATAATCTAAATCTAGTTGCAGAATTTAGAGCAGGCATATCTATACTACCATGCCGAATCTCTAGATCTACTCTAGATTCTAGATCTAGATCTAGATCTAGATTAGATCTCTATATTCTTGACTTTGATTCTTGAACTCGTGAGAGACGTACACCGTGCCGTGCTGAAGAAAGCGCTG